TTTTTTAGATTTTAATGTAATTACATCATTTTCCCCTTGCTGTCTCAGTTAGGGTTTCTATTGCTGTGATAAACACCACGACCAAAAGCAACTTGGGGAGGAAAGGGTTATTTGGCTTACATTTTCACGGCATTGTTTATGATCAAGGAAAGTCAGGGCAGGAACTGAGTCAGGCCAGGAATCTGGAGGCAGGAGCTAATGGAGAGGCCGTGGAGAAGTGCTGCTGCTTCTGGGCTTGTTCAGCTACTTTTTTACGTGACTCACGATCACTAGCCCAGTGGTAATCCCACCCACGAGGGGTTTGGCCCTCCCACATCAATCACAATCTAAAGTATGTCCTACAGGCTTGCCTTAGGCCTACCTTCAGCATAATCTGATGGAGGCTTCTTTTTTTTTTTCCAACTGGGATTTCTTCATCTCACATGACTATAGATTAAGCCAAGATGTCATAAAAACCATCCAGCATACTTTTGTGTCTCCAGACACTCCCATGTCTCCTTCCTTGAGCTCTTTCAAATTTGTAGCGTCTTTTTTCATTAATTATCATGACCCACATACATGTTTATATGTATATTCCTAGATATATAAATGCACTCTGCTCAGTCTGTATAATATTGCTCGTATATGTGTGTGTCTGTCTTTCTTTCTTTCTTTCTTTCTTTCTTTCTTTCTTTCTTTCTGACAAGTTCTCAGCCCTGGCAATCCTGAAACTTACTTTGTAGACCAGGCTAGCCTTGAATTCAAAGAAGACCTGTCCACCTCTGCCTCTGAGTGCTGGGAGGTGCACCACCATGCCGGGCTGTTGTCTGTTTGTTGATCATCATTCAGGAGTTCATTCTTTTTTTGTTTTTGTTTGTTTGTTTTGTTTATTCTTAAGCTCTTTTTCCTTAATTCCACTGAGCTGTTTCTTTGTGTCTTCTTTAAACTCTTTGAATTCTTCGATGAAGATTGTTCTTTTCAATTCTGTGCCTTGGGGTTCATGTGGTTAATTCTCATCAGCAACATTTCTACAAGACAGGTGGATTTAGAATGGGAGATACTGACTTGATCTTTCATATCGTTTGCATTTGCCATGAGATCTGGACATGTGAACTTCTCTTTTTCTGTGTCTGATATGGACAGAGCAGCTGGGGACAGAAGAGAGCACACGTGCAAGCGTGTTGGCCGAGAGGTTGGAAATGGTCAGGTGGGATGAAGTCGGGTGGACAGATGGGACTGGGTTAGTGGTAGTGCGCGTGCCCCAGTTCCAGCCTGTGTGTGGAGTCAGACATGGCTGGTGCAGAGGTTTTGTGTGGTATGGGGTGAACTTGTGAGTTGTGGGATAGGCAGAGTGGGTCATGACAGAAACCTGGAAATTGGTGGTGATGCAGGCAGAGGTGGCCAGACTAGGCTGGGACACTGGATGTGGGACCCCGGTTGGATCTGGCAAGTTTGAGAAGGTACATGGATGAGAGGGTCAGGCATGACTTACAGGGCTCGACCAAGGTTTTGGGGTCTTATGCTGTGTGCACACTTAACGTTTGCCTTTCAGTCTGACCAGTCTGTGTTCTGGCTTGAAGGATGGATGAGCAGTGGGCCCTTAGCTGTGGGGAACGTGGTGTTTGAGAACCATATTCCCAGTGTGGGAAACTTCCAGGCCTCTGTGTGTCCAGCATGCAGCTTAGTGTCAGATTCTGCCGTCCTGTCCTGTCACAGAATCTGAGACTCTTCTTGTGCCTCAGAGGGCTGGCCCGGCCCGCCCCAGGGTCTTTCTTGAAGGCACTTCTAGTGAAAGCTCCTGGGTCGAGCTGGTAATCTCTTTGAGTGGTGAAATGTTTGCTGTGCCAGATGTCCCTCCCCCGAACAGGGCGCTTTTGTCCTAGGGGCTCATGGAAACAGGAGCTGCCCATCTGCCTTTGGGGCCCAGGCTTCTCAGCTTGCAAAATGGTTGTTTGGGACAGCAAAGGGAGTGTGTGGCGCATATATGTATATATAAATGTGTGTGTGTGTGTGTGTGTGTGTGTGTGTGAATTTTGTTTTAGGACACAGCAAAATTTGCACATTTGGGGGTCAAAATACATGAGTGCAAGGTGACACTTTGGAGACCTGCTGTTCTAGAAGGGATGAATGAGAGGATAATGGAGTTTGCCCTTGGGTTTGTGTAAAAGGGACAGAAAAGCAATTTCTAGGTAGAACTTCTAGGCATGGTTGAACATGCCTATAATACTGGCACTCAGAAAGCAGAGGCAGAAGGATTGATTGCCAGGATGGTCTATGTGGTAAGTTTAAGACCAACCGGGGCTATGGTAAGACCCATCTAAAAGAAAAACAGGACCAAAACCTCTAAAGAATTCTGGTTCAAAAGCATTCCCTGCTGTGTGCATACAGCTCGACTCAGTTATTTCAATGTATTTAAACAGACTTACCTAGCACCTGACTTTGTTCATTACCGTCCTTGGAAGATCCCCATTCCAGAGCTCAGCCCTTTCTCAGAACTGAGCACCTACGAGGCAGTAGAAGCAAGAATGGATAATCAGCTCGCAGAGTCGGTGGACAAAGGACGGTTGACTTATAGGAAAGATAATGAACAGGAGATGATGAGAATACCTTTATAATTATATTATTACTCTATGATATAATTGCTTCATCGAAATCGTTGCCCAGTAACCAGAGGGTTATGTAGAAGTAAAATAAGTTGGCTTTACTGAAGTGTACTGATTTCTGCCTGCTGGTTGAGACCTCTACTCCTTTTGCTGGGAAAAATAAATACTGCCTGGAAGAGTAAGTACAACAGCTATTTTGGTAAAGGTCACATTGCAGATCCTATTTGCTAAAAAGATATTCTTTTACCTGCCAAAGTCTGTATGCTTTAATTACTACTAATGTTATTGAACTCAGGGTGGGGGATGCGTGGCAGGGTTGGGGTCCCAGCCTATGCCCTAAGTCAGGTCTGGCTACCTGCTCTCAAGAGGTCAATTAAAAGAGCCAAATTAAAAGTGAAAATCAGAAAAAAGAGTTTTATTTAATGTAGCCACATTGGGAAGACGCATTGGCCCATTCCCTTTGCCCTTCACTCCCATTTGGCCACATTGAAAGTCCATAACTCTAGCAAATATTTACTTTCTTTTATTGCTGCCTGCAAAACATCTCTGTACAAAAATGTCTGCTCCTGTAATTGTGCCTGTTGAAAATTCCTTTTGGTGGACACAGGACTCAGACCGCCCCTCTTACCAGACCTACAAAAGTTGCAGGACCTTTTCACAGTGTGAGCTTGGGTTACAGCCTCTTGTAATGAAAGAGTTTCTTCTGTCTCTCCAAGTGTTCTTGACAGTTGAATTTCCCTAACAGGAATTACAAGCACAGATAGTGTTGACCTCGGTGCTGCTGGAATTTCAATAGGGGACAGGGGCAATTTGAAAGAGAGGAAGGCTAAATCAGAGTAGTCTGGGAGGTGGGATTGAGAGAGAGGATTGGGGTCAGATGTGAGGGAAAGATGAAAAAAAGAGCAGTTTGGACTAGATCTTCTGGCTCAACAAAGTGGCCTGTGCCTGTAAGTTCTGTAATGCCCCCTTCCTCTCTCTGTCTTCATGTTCTAACAACTGTATTTCCATATCACAAATGTATTGTAATTTTGTAAGTCTTATGCTTAGAAATTCTTCTAGGTGTGCTTGCCCATCATGCAGGAGGTCCTGGGGTTCTATCTCAGTGCCACTGAAACAAAAAGTAAAACAAAACCCCAAATATTTAGGCACACCTAAATGGTTGTTGGGTTGGTTGGTTGTTGGACTAGTTGCTAGGTTGGTTGATTGGTTGTTGGGCTGATTGTTGGTTTGGCTGGTTGTTGGGTTGGTTGGTTGTTGTGCTGATTGTTGGGTTGGTTAGTTGGTTGTAGTACTGGAACTGGAACCCAGGGTGGAGCATGCTAGGTGGCTCCACTTGAGCTCTATCCCTGACACCACTCACTCAGGACAGATCTCTTGAGGTCATTTTCAGGTAGAGAGAGATGTCGTTGTGTGGCTACTAAAGGACACGGATTCTACATACGTGTTTCAGTGAGCTGAACCTGGTGTGCTCAGCTGTGGGGAGTAATGCAGAAATGATTACTCCCAGAGTGAATGATGTACACACCGATTCCGTTCACTCTGCCCTGTGTACCTTCCACACACCAACAGTAGATGTGGCCAGCGTCTGTCTGAATTTTCTTCCCAGGAGGCATGAAGTCACCTTCCTTAGTGGGTCAGGTGGGGGACGGGAAAGTTGCCTGACCGAGGGCAACTGCCTGGATTTCCACACTGCCTGGTGATCCTCAGGTGGAGCAGCAGGTAGCCTGAGAAGGCTGAGTTATGGATTAGTTCCTGCCGATTGTGCCAATATAAAGGCCGAGTGCGCCTTGCTAGCCCTGCGTTTGCGCAGTCAGTTCTTACTGAAGTCGAGGGAACGCAAAGCTGCAGGAAGCATGGAGCTTCCTAGTGCTTGTTTGGGAATGCAAGTCCTGTTGTCTGGGAAATACTTCGCTTACCCAGAAGACCGCCCTCTGCAAGTGCTAGAGCTGGACGAGGCCACTGAAACTATTCCAGGAAAACCCATGCAGCTTGGCACTACGAGGAAGTGCCTCATCACTTATGTCTCTCGCCAGGTTTCTAGGAGTACAGGTGGTTAAAAGGAAGCCGTGCCTGGCTTTGGGAGGTTAGGTGCTGGGCTCCTGGCTTGGGTGTATGTGGATTATTGTTCCCGGGGCCCACAGTACCCCACACCTGTGCTGAATGAGAGACTGCCAATTGGGTTGAGTGGAGATAAACAAAGCAAACAGGCACCCGGCGACCGGCGACAGTGTGTAATGTGTGCAAGTTCCTGAGGTGGCTGCAGACTGAAGACTGCCTCTCCCTGCCTGCAATTTGCCCTGCTGGGAAGGCCGCCTGTCCCAGTGATTGAGCAAGACCTTTTGAAAGCATTTTCCTCACACCGCCAGAAGCGCGTTGAAGCCGAACTGCGTTAGTGGGAAGGGAAGGAGTGACGATGGACCTGGCTATGGAGAAGGCTAAGGGCAAGGCGCACCTGAGCCCGGAGCAATCCTTCCTGGCTACTCTGAGTAACCCGCAGGTGACATTGCTGTCCATGCACAAGAGGTGCTCTTTCAGGAGGAGCTCTGGGGCCGGGGGCTTGGCCAGACTGGCGTCTTCAGAGGAGAAAGACTCTTCCCAGCCAGAGGAAGAAGGCGTCATTTTAACTAGAACCCTGGAAAGGAGTTCCCAGGTTGGTGCACGGGAAGATAGGTTGAGAGGCTCCCCAGACTGGGGCTAAGTTTGCAGCAGGAGGTAGCTCCAGGTCTCCTATGGGGAGAGGCTTGGCCCTGTGAGTGTGTGTGTGTGTGTGTGTGTATACAAGTGTCATACTGATAGGAGTCAAGTCTGCGGGGTTGGGGTCAAGGTGGGAGTGTGAAATTTGGGTCTTGTTGCTTTATATTTTCAGAAAATTTGGTGAAGTACAAGCTTCCCAAACTACCAGCTAGACAAACGGGCCTTCCTTACTCCTGAATATTTGTCATTTGTGATGAGCCTGCCACACAAGTGCTCAGTCCCATACTTCGTTCTTATTTTGCTGATCTCAACTCAGATAAAATACTTTAAAAACGTGGCTTCAGAGGGAAGCTGCTTTTCTTAAGCAAATACATGGAAGTTTTGTTAGGCCAAAAGTCATTTTTACTGGGGGCAGGGAGCGTGTACAGGGTTATTTAAGAGTGACGGTCTTAGTGGTGTCTCCTAATGGTCTGTGTGGGATTTTTTTCCCTTGAATATCAGGTAGGGGGAAAGTCATTTTGTGTCATGCCCAGATCACGGAGTACCCTCCCCCCCCCCACCCAAACTAACTAGGAGATTGAGTCCTGTATGTAAAAACAAAGAGCCTTTATTCTTACACAAATTTGCAAACTCGGACTCTCTGCTTGTTCAGTGTATTGAAATGATCAGAGAGCCCCGAGCTCAGTTAGGGTTGGGATTCTATAGTGGCAAGGTGGGGGTGAGGGATTTCTAAGGTTCAAGACCCCTGATTGGCAGTTATTTGTCTAGGGGTTATCTAGGTGGAAAACGATGGGTGTGGGCTGGCAGGTTATCCTATCTGCAATGGTTGGAACGTTAGGAATTTCCTTTGGATGGTCTGTTCCTGGGTGGTGCCTGGATGGTTTCAGTTTGTGATCTTTCTTGGAATCAGGTATTACCTTAGGGTAAACTTCTGAGACTCTGGCCTCTACTAAGCTTGTCATGGCTGGGGCCTACATTTTGAAGGCATCCTACTAGTTAGAGACAAAGAGAAGTCTTCATTAAATACTTTCCCTCTTTTAGGAGTTTTTCTGCTGTTCATTTTGTTGTTTTTTGTTGTTGTTTGTTTAGATTTTATATAGAATCTTACTCTGTAGCCCAGACTGGCCAAAACCTTACTATATAACCCCAGAATTCACAGCAATCCTTCTGCCTCAGTGTCCCAAGTGCTAGGATTACAAGTGCTTGCTACCACCAAGCCTGTGCTGGTGCTCATGTGAAAATCACCAAACCAAATTGTGTGACGTAATGTGGTGTGTGTGTGTGTGTGTGTGTGTGTGTGTGTGAGAGAGAGAGAGAGAGAGAGAGAGAGAGATTGTTGAATGCTAAGGACCTACTTGAATATTGATAACAGAAACAGTTTTATTTAGGATTCTTTATTTGCTTTCATCCCTTTAGCCAGGATGCTCTGAGATATTTATTTTTAAAAATTTAAAATCTTTTTTTTTTTTTAAAGACTAGAGATGAAGCTTAGTAGGTGTAGATCATGGTTGAATCCCCAGGGTAACCCCCTCCCCCCATTTTTTTTTTTTTTTTCGAGACAGGGTTTCTCTGTAGCTTTGGAGCCTATCCTGGAACTAGCTCTGTAGACCAGGCTGGTCTCGAACTCACAGATATCCGCCTGCCTCTGCCTCCCGAGTGCTGGGATTAAAGGCGTGTGCCACTATCGCCCGGCTCCCCCCCAATTTTTAATTGCCTTTTATTTTTGATGAATCTGTAGACAATTCCAAGAGACTCTTTCCAAGTTTCTTCCTGGCCAGGGATGTGTAAAATCGGCTAGTTTGAGTAGGTCTCAGGCAGGCCAGACGTGAACGCCGTGCTCAGTGGATTCCAGGCACTTTGCTTCCAGAGAGTCACTGTTCCGTTCTCATTTTGTAGCTCTTTAAACTACATTAACCAGGCAGGCAAACTGTTGAAGCTTTTAGAAGCCTAGAGAATAACAAAGCGTTTATTAAGAAGACACATCCTATGTTGCTGGTGTACGTGACTCATAGCCGACATCTATCTATATCTTTAGCTATGTGTTTAGGGTAGAAGAATAGTAAACATTTTCTTGGGAAAAATGCTTTAGACTTCCCAGACTTTGTAAACTCAGCCTCTGAGGTTTGGGCTGTGTGCATTTTAATGGTCAATGCTAATCTCTTTAGACTGTGGGATTCCCCGGAATCTGACTAGGGTAGCAGCCCCCTCTGAAGAGAAGCTGGTGAAGAAACCTTAGTAGGCACTCCTTGGTTCATTCTAGGCTGTTGGGCCCTGAGTCTTGGAGGCTCCACATCAGATTTCTCATTTCAAAGCTGAGTGAGGGATCCCGCCTCGTATGACTGTGATCCCGTCTGCATCCACTTTCTGGAGGACGGCAAGCAGAAAACTAGGCTTTTATATAGAATTTGCGGTTATTGAGCTGTGTGTTTTTTGCCGATTGAATAAGACTGAGTTAATTGTCACTTACTTTAATCATTACCTGAAGAGGTAGCCTTGTCTGTAACAGCCATGGAAGCTCAGATTGATTGACTAGGTAATAAGTTCCCGAAGGAGTTAATGCCAGGTCTGATGACAAGCCCTTGCTTTTCCAATAACACCAAAACACTGTTTCGCGTATCTGATGAGACAGGCGTGAAAGTATGGAGCAGTAGAGAGGTACTGATTCCTGGTGAATGGGAAGGGTAAGTCTTAGGTGGCACTTGGTTCACAAGACACCAGAAGCTGCCGTGAGAGAAGCATTTCAGATTTGTTTTTGGGCCCGTGAGATGGCTCAGCAGGGAAAGGCTCCTGCTGTCAAGACCTGCAAACCGAGTGCAGTCTCCACGTCCCGCGTAATGAAAGACGAGGACCAACTCCCGAAAGTTGTCGTTTGACCTCCACACGTGTGTTGTAACATGTTCATGCCCTTCACACATGTCATAGCATGCTCATGCCCTTCAAACACACACACTACACTCACACACATACTACACACACACACATACACAATGTAATTTAAAAAATTTAAAATTGCTTTTTAGATTAATGAATTTTCTTGTTTGAATCTTGTGTGTCTTATACAACATAGCATGCATTCTATTCAATTTAGAATTAAATCATTACTCTGATTTATTTGTGCTTTGAACAGGGAGGGGAAATTTCCCTTTTCTAAAACATTGGAATAAGCAGCTTTTTTGCCGAGTACATTTTCCCCACCACCCTAGGAACTTGTCTTCTGTGAGCAGAGGTCTAAGCTTAGCAGAGGGCCGGAAGAAGGAGTATCCATCTGTCCATTGTCTTGCCTCCCCTTGCCGCCTCTACTGTAACTGCGGAGTGGGAGTGGTTGGGGTTCGCTGGGGATTTAAGTATGTAGAGAAGTCTCCTTTTTCCTAGAAACAACACGGATGACCCCATTGATCTCCCAGGTTATGATGAGCTGCCAGAGTTTTTGTTGTGTTGGGGGGATTGACCCAGGCCCTCATGTCTCATGCACACATCTTGTCAGTGAGTTAACCGCCCCCCAACCCCAATTTGGTGGTAGGCTGATGATTTTGTTTTTGTATCCTGTATTGGGTCGCCTCGGTCTCAGCGCCAAGCTTCTAATGGATGAAGAGATGAGTGGCTTGTGCCTGCCTTTATATTCTAGCACGGAGGACTGACAGAGGAGTGAACAGGTGATGGCTATAAGGGTGTTAGGTTATGGACTTGCCATCAGTTGATTAATATGTGCTGTGTTGGTGGTGGAACCCTCAAGCACAGTACGCATGCATGCATAGTAGGGTTGCACCCCTGAGCACTCCCGGTATTGCCTACCACTGAGCTGAACTCACATTCCTTATACTTTTGGAAACTAGGATTCAGAACTTTGTTCTTGGTGATAGGTAGTTAGATTGGGGTTTTCTTTCCATAGTCCAGGCTAGCCTGGAGCCCAGAGTCTTCCTGCTTCTCTGTGGGAAGTGCTGGGGTTGAGGGCTAACACCACACCTGGCGCTCTTCTGTGGCTCCTCACTTTTATCAACTGTAGATGTCTTTTTATATACATTTGCCTATTTTACAGTCATAACACAGCTTGCTGTGGGTGGGCTGTATGTAGCTAATTGTCTACAGAGCTTTTAGTTGGCTTCCAAATTTTAACATTTAAATATGACAGTGATCATTCTCATCTAATTTTATATCCATATAATGAAATCCTCCGAGTTTCAGAGGAAATGTTGTGGGATCTAGGACAGAAGCATTGAGCACTTAGCATTTTGATAAGTATCGCCTGTTTGATAACTGCTCCCCAGAAAGGTGCATGCTTACCTTTCTGTAAGCAGTGGTTGTGTATTGTTTCTCTATGCGCTTGCTTACGGTATCGCTGAACTTTAAAACACCAGCTTGTTGGTGGGAAGTGGTTTATCTTAATAATTCATACTTAATACTTTAAAATGGCTTTGTAAACCACGTGTTTCTCTTTCTGAAGACTGTTGTAGTGGTGAGTTCCTTTCATGCATTTATTCAGTGATGTTGCTAGAAACATACTAGATTCACAGTGAAGGGTTTTCTTTGTTTGTTTGTTTGGTTTTGGTTTTGTTTTCAAGACAGGGTTTCTCTGTGTAACAGCCCTGGCTGTCCTGGAACTCACTCTGTAGACCACTGGCCTCGAACTCACAGAGATCCACTTGTGTTTGCCTCCCTGTGCTGGGATTAAAGGTGTGAGCCACCACCGCCCGGCTCATGGTGAAGGTTTTAAAGATGTATGTCTGTTTTATACGAAGCTGGCCCTACCTATGATTCGGTGTAGAAAAAGCTACATTTCTTTGCCACTATAGCAGCGGTTATCAACCTGTGTTTCACGACCTTCAAAGACCACAGAAAACACAGATATTTACATTATGATTCATAACAGTAGCAAAATTACAGTTTTGAAGTAACAACAAAAATAATTTTATGGTTGGGGTCACCACAACTTGAAGAACTGTATTAAAGGGTCGCAGC